TCTCTCTCCTTTTCTTGTTAGCAGTACCACACAGGGAACATCTGCGTTCCATCATCATCATCAACATTTCATACTGAACTTTAGCCTGTTCATAGCAGAGAGAGACACCCAGACTGATGAGCTGTCAGTAACGTTCTACAGGTGAACCCGAACTCTGAGACTCTCTCAGACACAAACATTTGGCAGTAGCTTTACAATGTAGTCGGTTTGCGTCTCTTATGTGCTTCGTTGTTGTTTTCTGTATGTTTGTGGCTGTTTTGTGTCTGTGGTCTTTTTACATCTCTGTAGTTTTTTGGGTCTGTTTGTGGTTGTTTTCTGTCTTATTATAGTTGGTTAGTGTCTCTTTTGTGATTATTTTATATCTTTTCATATTATTCAACCAATCAGATCTTTAGTTTGACATGTTGGGCGTATTCTTTGACTATCAGAGCCTGCGCGCCGGCCTATAATGACATCAGCATTACGTGCAGCTCAGTGTCCAGGTGCAGCTCTGCCGCGAGGTGCAGAGTGTGCTGTGATTGGTCAGTGGGCAGGCACGTGACTATCGTAACAGCAGAGGCTGATGGGTAGTGAATCACATCACGTGATGCAGCTCAGCCAATCAAATATGGACATTCTGACTGAGTGAGATGTACCATGACACAGGAGACTGAGACGAGGAAAGACACTGCAGAGCAGTACATTCAATGCTCAGGTTGTGAACGTAAGATCCTATGATAATCTCTGTGGGTCACAGCTTGTCATTAAGGAATGATGGTGGATCCCACAGCCAGACCAGCTGAGGACATTATATTATCCTGAATTTAGGCTTTTGCATTTTCTAAATGCTCTAGCATTATTCAAACGACTCCTAACGAAGATGTATATAGTTACAGCCTTAACAATGAATAATAGCTGTGGTGCCATCATGTGGTTATAAGGTGGTATTTCAGCTGCAGGACAGCAGTGAAGGCCCAGGTATAAAATGCACGCCCGCCACTGCTTTATTGGTATTTTATGCTTCTTTGCAGTTGTTTTGCATCACTATGTCGTTGTTTTTGGTCATTTGGTTTCTCTGTGTAGTCATTTTGCATCCCTTTGTGCTGGTTCTGTGTATCTTTCTGGTCATGTTGTGTCTCTTTAGAAGTCATTTGATGCTCTCTCCAATAATAAATATTAACTCTTCATACAGAGGCCCTGGACTGAGGGCCACCGTAACCCTTCGGGCCCCTCAGTAGTAAACCTGCTCAGTGATCCATCCATAGCTGCATAAATCAGAGTGGATCTGCCCAGTTTCTGTTCACAGAAGTGACGTACCTCCTGTTACTGCTAGCTCTCAGGATGCTAACATGCAGTACGTACGGGCCTACCAGCACGCACACACACACACACACACACACACACACACACACACACACACACACACACACACTCACTTTAATTTGCTCTAATGCTGAGTTGGATCAGTCTTTGCCTGCATTCACTCATTCCCTCTCTACACTCGTTCATCCTGCAATCTGTCCATCCTCGTTTCCTCCACTCTTCCCTCCCTCCCTCCCTTCCTCCCTCATCCCTCTCTCTCAGGAAAGCACACCATGCTACAGATGCTACTGTCATCCCCAAACATTCCTCCATCCATCCATCCATCCATCTGTCCTCTAACCCCCCCCCCCCCCCCCCCACCCCCCCCAAAAAACAAAAACCAGCTCTCACCATGTTTTCCTGGGATGCAGGCGATGAGTGTGAGTGTGTTTCTGTGTTCCAGCCTGAAGCCATCGCGTCATGATAGCGTCCTGTTTGCTCCCTCTCCTCTGTACCGTGTGCGTGCGTGTGTGTGTGTGTGTGTGTGTGTGTGTGGGAGGAGGGAGGATATCATCGTCACGGCAACACCAGCAGCTTGCAGCAGCACCAGGCTGAGGAGGGGGAGGAGGGCCTCGCTGCAGCATTCACCAATGAGGAGCAAGAAGGGCGGAGAAAAGGAGGGAGGTGATTGGTTCATCGGTCAGTCGGTTATATGATGATCTCTCTCTCTCTCTCTCTTTCTCTCTCTCTGTCGCTCTGTCTCTCTCTCTCTCTCTCTCTCTCTGCTAAAAACACATGTACAAATATATATTTGCTTTTATTTATTTTTCACCTCTTCATTTTAAAAAAGTCATCCCACTATTTATTTATCTCATTATTTACTTATTATTATTTATAATTTTTCGATCTTTTTTTATATAATCAGGTTAAACAGAAAAAGCGTATTAATTAATAATTGTTAAAAATATATTTATCTTATATTTTTAAGTACTTACAGCTCTCCTACACACTCACTATATTCCTTCAAACTCCAAATGTAATTGTTACATTTACATATTTTTATTGAACTTAATAATGAGTAATTATTTTAAGAAGTATGCATGATTTTTTTAATGATTTTTTGCTGATCTTTTAAATTATTCTCACGTACCCCCTGCAGTACTAATTCCCAGTTCATCATCCAGTCCACTAGGTGGCGGTAAAGCTCCGCGAGGCCGTTTACGAGCCGCCATGACGGTATAAAAGGAAGCGGAAACGCCACCGCACTCATTTCAAAGAGACACCGCCGAGCTGCAGTAGCGATAGAAGTCGTCACTCCTGAAGGTAAATATATCTTTAAACTAAAACTTTTCCTTCAAATAAGTCCTTTTATGTGATTATCACGCCGTGTAGAAGTACAAGATGGCGACATGTATCTTCGATGATGAGTCATTTTAACGGATGGTCGTAGATTAGAACAGCGGTGCTGCTGAGAAGTCTCAACACGTTGTACGTCACTGAAATATTAATGTTTTTAGTGAGTTTATTTAATGTTTTAACAGTTCATTTGGAGGTAAATCTGTTTTTACAACCATAGTTATCAATTAATTATTTAAAGCGAGCCCTCGTGTTAAAATATAGTTAATAAAACGAGACTAAATGTGTTTAAAGTTGGTTTAACTCGTGTTTTTGTCAGTGAAACTAGTTCTGTACCGAGTCAATGTTAAATATTAATCTGCTGCTTTGGAGAGTTTAAGATAAAAATATGTATAAATTATAAACTTCAGTGTTTCACTTCCTGTAGTATCCAGCAGGGGACCACGTGGTTCACATCTCTGTATTTTAACTTTGGGTATTCGTGCTTTTAGTAAAGGATCAGAATATTTATAAAGTCAGATATTCAGGGTCTGAGAATAGATTCAAAGTACTTTTAATTTAATGATATTTGTATTCGGTTTCAGAAGGATCTGCGAAATATTTGACTTTTTACTGATTACATTTCTTCCTCATTTCAGATTTTAAATGTTAATTCATTCGTCTCCTGACGATGCTTCATCCTCTGGACTGTTGCCGTCTACACAAGGTTAGAATATTTATAATATAGTATTTCATTTAAATTGTATTCATTCCTTATTCACCTCTGTCGCTGTGATGACATTATTTCCTGCCATTCGTAGTTTCCACCAGAGGTCTAAAGACTGAAGATGGTCCAATCCTTCCTTGGATGTCTGAGCGTTTATTTAGCAATAAATCATTATTATGATTATTATTATTATTGTCTCTAACTCTATAAATGTCCTCACAGCCGGTGGAGAGAATGACCTTCAGGGACACCGTACACGAGCTGCTCCGCTGACAGATGATGCGATTAATTCTTCAAGAGCACAAAGATGAAAGGCGTCTGAACCTCTTAACATGGAGACCGGTGAGTTTATGAATACATGGAGACTCCACGTGTTTTATATATTACTATTTTTACACAATCTGGTCAAAGTAAATGCTTCATTTATATGTTGGAGTGTTTGTTTTTGATGGTCTGATGGACCAAAATTTCCAGGTTTTATGATTTTAAAAAACAAAATGAAGAGACTGACGTCCTGCCTCAGCTGATGTCTTTGTTTCGCTGTGATGACATTATTTCCTGCCATTCGTAGTTTCCACCAGAGGTCCTGACGGACCGATGACGGTCCAATCCTTCCTTGGATGTCTGAGCGAACAAGAAGCTTCTCTAAACGTGTCGTCTAAACATCTCTCGGTGTTCTCTAACTCTACCTCCGTCTCTTTCAGTATGAACGTCTCTGGTGGACCGCCGGCGTTAAAGTCAACGGACTCGACCAGCGATGGTGACGACCAATCGGCTCCATGATCGGTGTGTGTTTGTTCTTACGGTTTCATTATGTTTCCATCTTGGTCGCTGTGATGAAGCGTTTTCCTGCCATTCGTAGTTTCCACCAGAGGTCTTTACGGACCCATGACGGTCCAATCCTTCCTTGGATGTCTGAGCGACTGAATGATCACTTTAGATTTAGTCTTTTCGTTATCGTAATCACAATTGAACGTTTCTTAATCTCTTTCAGGCTGGATGTGAAGAGAACGTCTGGGTCTCTGCTGAAGAGGAGAGAAGGTGTGTGTTTACTTTATTCTGCTCAAAGCCTCTGCTTTAAATGGTGTCATAAGAGGTCTACTGGTCCGACTGAACATTCGCTGTGATGACATTATTTCCTGCCATTCGTAGTTTCCACCAGAGGTCTAAAGACCGATGACGGTCCAAACCTTCCTTGGATGTCTGAGCGAACAAGAAGCAGTGATTTCTATAATAGTTTGTCTTTAGCTTCACAACTAACGTGTCCCGACATGTTTCTCTTCAGGGTGGAGGTCTCTGCCGGCCGTCCAGATGTCGCTGCTGATGTCACATCCTGGTATGTAAACAGTCCTTTATTTTTAAACATTGTGTTTGTGACACTTCGCTGTGATGAAGCTTCTTCCTGCCATTCGTAGTTTCCACCAGAGGTCTAAAGACCAATGACGGTCCAAACCTTCCTTGGATGTCTGAGCGAGCAAGAAGCAGTGATTTCTATAATAGTCGTGAAGCTAAAGACAAACTAACGTGTCCCGACATGTTTCTCTTCAGGGTGGAGGTCTCTGCTGGCCGTCCAGATGTCGCTGCTGATGTCACATCCTGGTACGTAAACAGTCCTTTATTTTTAAACATTGTTTGTGACACTTCGCTGTGATGAAGCTTCTTCCTGCCATTCGTAGTTTCCACCAGAGGTCCTAACGGACCCATGACGGTCCAAACCTTCCTTGGATGTCTGAGCGAAGTCGTCACGATGACCGACGGCTCAACGTTTAGTCCATCAGCTGACGTCTGTTTCTGTCCCGCAGGTAGAAACCTGGAGCTGCACTGAAACGAGGATTCTTCAACCAACAAAGAAATAAAGATCGATAAAGTTGAACTGTTGTCTCAAAGTGTCTTCATGGTATAAAGGAGTTTCTCTATTTCACTAGATAGAATGAGCAACAATCTGCCTGGTTTGATCTCTTATTTAATGTTAAATTGGATTTAATGCAGATTATATTAAAGTATTGGTATATTGTCAAATGAGCAAAGTACTACATACACGCAGCATATTACTGGGCTAAAATATATTGTTTTAATGACAGCTGGATAGAGATATGTGGATGTTACAATTTGGGCATTATTTAACATCGTAAAATGGACTCCCTAAGAAGCTCTCATTGGACTAGCACTCATGATTTTGTTTAATCAACACATCTGTGAAACTGAGTTTTCCACAAAGAATCTCATAAAAACACAACTTTTAATCTGGAGTTTCTTGGAAATTTGTCATTCAGCATAAAAATATTATAAACTGTTATTCGACTAAAGAGAACTTGGTCCTTAAGACCAAAGCAATCCATTAGTCGACTAAGATGCAGAAATTGTGAATTATTATACAGATGGATGTGAATTAATCTATTATGGATTAAGTTACCCAACAGTACCAGATGACACTTAAAAAGTAAGGCATGGGTGCTTTTACTTAAAGGGACGGTTCACATCAAAGTTTTTAAAACTTGCTCTCCTGTTTGAACCATAAAGTCGCATTACAATCAAGAGGAGGCAGAAACATGAATAACGTGTATTTTTGTGTGAATTGTCCCTTAAATGACTCACTTAAGATTTAACTTGTAATAGTTTTATTACACTGACTTTTTCCTCTACCCCTATAAATATATTTGCTTTTTTACTCCCAGAGTTCTGACCCTCTTGGGCTTCCGTACTCGGAGCTGCTGTCAGAGCAGTGTTAGCCCTGCTAGCTGTTTACCGGGCTAGCCTGCACCGGGTGACGATAACAAACAATGGCGGGTGTGCACCCACAGGTGAGTAAGCCGGAGGTAATCCCACATCTGTTGAACCCAACATGATGCTTTTAACGTTTCGATGAACTAAAACAGCCGTTAACGGCGGCTAACGTTAGCTGATGTTGGCTAACGTTAGCCGCCTAGCTCAGGTCAGCTGTGCACGAGCTGTCGGTGCTGATGTTGGGACGTGGCAGCACAGAGTTATCAAAGACAGGAAGCTCCTTATTTCATCATGCGTTGTGTTTCATTCTACTCTTATTAACGGGGCGTGTTAACCTAAATACAACGTGTCCAGTGAGACCACAGCTGCTGTTTGTGTTACAGGACGACCTGCTGAAGATGACTCACAGAGAGAACTGGAAGTGAGTAGTATACAGTGTGTGTATATATATATATATATATATATATATATATATATATAGTGAGCAGCAGCAGCAGTTTGGATACATCGTACACCCACAGAATGCTCATTTTCACCATAAAATCAGTTTCAGTCTGACTCCACTTGTGTTTGTTCTGCATCTGTTGTCACATTTCCTTCCTCTCCCTCCTCCCTCTTCCTTCCTCCTTTTCCTCTTCCTCCTCTTCTTCCTCTCCTCTTCCTCCCTCCTCCTCAGGGTGCAGCATGAGCGTCTCCACGTGAAGCACCGTGGTCATGAGGCCATGCATGCAGAGATGGTGATGATCCTCATCGCCACGCTGGTGGTGGCTCAGATAGTCCTGGTGCAGTGGAAGCAGCGGCACCACCGCTCCTACAACGTGAGTGCAGGAGGAGGTAGAGGAAGGAGGTAGAGGAGGAGGAGGAAAAAGGAGGTAGAGAAGGAGGAGGAGTCCCACAGACATGGATTATGTGGATTACAAAGTATATGAAGTGTGCTAAAGCGTCTCGTCGTCCTCAGCTTGTGACGCTGGTCCAGATGTGGGTGGTCCCTCTTTACTTCACCATCAAGCTGTACTGGTGGAGGTTCCTCTCCATGTGGGGCATGTTCTCCGTCATCACCAGCTACGTCATCTTCAGAGCCACTCGCAGGCCGCTGTCCTGCAGGACGCCCAGGTGAGCACCACAGGCTGAGACACCGGGGGGAGCTGTTTGACCTCCATGATGTCCATCACTGGGTCGCATTATTTACCGTTATTTGAATAGTTTCTATATTCCTGTTTCATATTTCCTTATTAATCATCTTGAGACTCCTCAGAGTTCCTGAGCTGGGTCACAACTCTCTCAGATGATCCATCGAGTAAAGTCCGTGAATATAAATCTAGATTTACAGTCTGAGGATCAACAAGTTCCCCTTTCATGGCGTCCTCTGTAGAAGATAATGTAAAGCTGACCTAACAGCAGTTTAATACGTCTCATACGACGGTGAGCTGAATATCTTTGCACATGAATGTATTAATATTTAGCTCGTTGGTTGTTCAATATAAGACAGTTGAATATGTAGATGTTGGCTCTACTTTGATAGTCGTGTACTCTGTTGTTTTCAGGATGGTGTATAAATGGTTCCTGCTGATCTACAAGCTGAGCTACGCGGTGGGCGTCCTGGGCTACCTGGCCATCATGTTCACCATGTTCGGCTTCAACGTCTTCTTCAGGTGAGTCCAACATCCACACATCATTTCAACCATAAGTATATATTTCATCACTCCACGTGTGTGTTTTCTGCATCTGTTGTCACACTTTCTCTTCCTCCCTTCTCCTCTTCCTCCTCCTCCTCCCTCCTCCTCCAACCTGAACTCTTTCCTGGGACACTCACACTTTAACAATCACCAAAACTGCACCGTTCATCTCAGCCCTCAGCTGTAAAAACAATCATAATTGTCAGATTATCATCTTTCCAACGGTCCTTGAACACATCATGTGTGACGAACGCTTCTGTAAGAAAAAACAGCCAAAACGAAGCTTAAAACTATATTTCATAAAAACATTTTATTCTCCATGTTCTCATTATAAACCTCTCCTCTAATAAAGCGTTCACTTTAACCTGATTGTGTAAAAACATTAAAGTGTGAGCTCCTCAGAGAAACTATGAGACCAACAGTCATGTGACTACGAGGAGGAGACACTCTGACTGAACTAATAAAGCGACTGGATGTGTGACGGCTCGTAGTCTCTCCACGGTCCCTGCTGTCCATTCAGACGTCTCTGGTTCTGTTCAGGCTTCTCGTGAGCTTTAGTGGATTCTCTCCTCTCCTCTGTGTCCCCGCGGTCGAGCAGGATCAAGGCGGAGGACTCGATGGACGTCGGTGTGATCATGCTGTTCTACGGGCTTTACTACGGCGTCATGGGCAGAGACTTCGCTGAAATCTGCTCCGACTACATGGCTTCTACAATCGGGGTAGGACTTTTATTATTCATTGTGTAGATTCTCTCTCAGAGGATCTCTGAATCTCCGATGTATAAACTAGTACAAACGTCCACAAAAAGAGGCTCCGCCCTGCAGAAGATTCCTGAGAATCGTCATGATTTAAACTTTTCTTCAGTGTCACACTGATCCACTAATAGCTGTTTAGACATTATTATAACGTCCCGCTTCCTTCAAATCTCCAAGATGAACCCAGTGCTCTCAGGCTCAAAGCTTGACAGTAACTCTGGTACTGAACTGGTTCTTGTCATGACGGTGGATAAAGTTTACAATCAATAATAATGGATTTGCTTTCTCTTTCTCTATCGTGCTGTTGTATCTTTTACCGTAGTTTACTTTATCTCCCGTGTTTTATTACCTTTTGCTCTGTCAAAGCTCTTTGTTGACTGTTTTAAAGGCGCTATGTAAATAAAGTTATTACGATCATTATATTTCCTCTTTACAGATCCTAAATGACTTATGTTTAAATATTATTATCCAAGATTAGGTATCATTAGGATTTTATAGATACTAGAACTCTTATTGATTATTCTGTGAGAAAAAGACAATTAACTAAGAAAATAATCTACACTTCTTTATCATTCCTTTTTGTAAACAAAATGTCTTTCTTGTGTTCTAAAATCTTTAAAACACATTTTCAGCGAAACAATTATCTCAGTGATTATCTTTCATTGATGATTCTGTTCTTCTGATCAAATGTCAAATGTTTCCTTGTCTCTGGTCATGATGCGTGTCTCAGATCATATTTACAGATGTGTGTTTGTGTTGATATATGTATTCATATAAATAACAAAACAGTACAGTATAAATATAAAGATTCTGTGTGTGTGTGTGTGTGTGTGTGTGTGTGTGTGTGTGTGTGTGTCTCTACTTGCTGTGTTGTGTTTTCAGTACTACAACAAGGGCGGCATGCCCAGCAGGAGTCTGACCGACGACATCTGCGCCGTGTGCGGTCAGAGGATCCTGGTGGACGTGGAGGAGGAAGGCTTAATAGAAGACACCTACCAGCTGTCCTGTGGACACATGTATCCCTAAAGGATGGAGGAGGTGACTCCAGGACATTATCACAATGTTCTGTTGGTTTCTGTTCTGTTGATGCCAAACTTCATCCACTCTAACCTGTCTGTTCATTGCTCCATGAGTATTTCTTCCTTAACTAGCACCCCCCCCCCCATCTTCAGCTTCCACGAGTTCTGCATCCGCGGCTGGTGCATTGTGGGTAAGAAGCAGACGTGTCCGTACTGCAATGAGAAGGTCGACATGAAGAGGATGATGAACAACCCGTATCCTTCCTCCTGAGTCACGTGTTCTTCTAAACACAGTCATGCATCATCACAGCGTCTAATATTCAGAGTAATAGAAGATATGATTAAAGCGTGGCATGTAGAAAATAGTTATAATCGTAAACATCGAGTACATCAAGTCTATTCTAGGCATTACGGTAAGAGCGTTTAAGAACTGACTTCAAAATAAAAGCCCTCTAAAATGTCATATAGGAGCCGTGTTTCCTCCAGATTCGGATTGGTTCACTCGAATGATCACACAGGTGTGACCATTGCTGCAAAGGGTTCAATGGAACAGAGAAATTGAGATATATATATGTATATATGTATATGTATATATATCGCAGCATAGCCTAAAAATATCAAGACATTCGTTATCATCCTCTCTCGTCTCCTTGTTCCCTCTCCTTCACTCCTTGTCTCCAGCTGGGAGAAGACTCATGTCCTCTACGGGCAGCTGCTCGACTGGCTCAGATACCTGGTGGCCTGGCAACCCATCATCATCGGCGTCGTCCACGGGATCAACTTCACGCTGGGCCTCGAGTAGAGCCTCGAGGACCCGGCTCAGGCCTCCTCTGGACTCTGTTTGTTTGTGGTCCCAGGTGGTCTGGGTCTCCGTGTGCCTAGAAGGACACCGTGATGCCATAAAACACAAAAACAAACTGCTGCCAACTTGAAGCACAGATCCAGTATTTGATCATTGGACACGAGGAAGACGTACGTGGAGTTGCAGCTGAAGGAAACGTTGGCTTCCTCGTGATGAATCCTGGTTTTAAGTCAAAAGGCCTTTTTAAACCGTTTCATTGCACACTGCTGGTGCTGCTGAACGCCACTTCAGAGACTCCACTGCAGAAAGGACTCTTCTGTCCCAGTTGCTGTGTTGCATAACCCGTTTACATTTCATGCAACTTTGTTTATTACGAAATTTTTCTTTTGGAACGTTTTATGTTTTGTTTTAAGCTAAAGTTGATGCTAAATGCTCCAGTTTGAGTCAGAATGTCACAATTGTTTCTTAACGTGACTCGTTATCACTGCAGCTGTGTGTATATATATATATATATATATATATATACATATATATATATATATATTCTTCCAGCCACAAGCATTCAGTAAAAGGAGTTTGGATCAGTTCAAATCCCTGACGAGCGTTCTCGTGCTACAACAGGAAGGAAGTTTTCTTTTTGCCAAATCAGAAATGACATCGCCTTTGTTATCGAGACTTCTGCTGATATTGACTTTGTATTTATTAAATATATATAAAAACCTCATCAGTGTGTCAGGAATATGTGTTTGAGATATAAACTAATTCATACTCGCTGTATTTTAGTTTGATCGGTCTTAAAGTGTGCAGTTTGACTGATGACCGATAATCAGTAAAATATTTGCGATCGGGACGTTATTGATGCTTTTGTTACACTGTGAACTTAATATGTTTAAACCAATCAGTGGAGAGCTAGTAACGTTAGCAGCACCGCTAACGGCTAGCCAACAGGAGGACAGCTAGTAACGTTAGCATTATGACATTATGATGCCTTCAGGCTCTGCTCAGTGAACATGAGTACATTATAACGTTATCATGATGTGTTCACATGTCATCTGTAAAATGTAGTTTTGGTGATAAACTAGAATAAATCCAGTAGTTTGAAGGAGATGATTTCACATGAATATAAAATAGATATTAGAGATGAATTATGATGTTTAACTTCATAACACTAACTATGAACATTATTATACTAATATACAATGGTTATATTTGTTTTAATCCATAAAAATCAATGACTGATCCGATCAATGACTCTGAACCAAGAGTTTTATGATCCCGATATTTATGAATCGAACTTCTAACTTCCCCCAGTTAGAAGTTCCTACAGCTGTGTAAACAAGTGATTATGGGATGTTATAAACAGCAGTACAGTGGTTGGCGATTTGATAATAGATCAAATTTTCATAATTCCACCTCGGCGTGGCCTCGTCTGGCTCTGCGTGTGGAGAAGTGGGTGTGAGTGTTTGTTAGTCAAAGCAGTTGTGGAACTGGAGCTGATCAAACACGTCTGTGCTTTTGTTCTTCTTCATTTGCACACCAGAGCTTTATACAAATGTGTGGCGTTAATGCAACCAAGACGACAGACTGTGAGCCGCACTCACCAACAACAAACATTTTATTAAAATCCCTCCACGATGCCGAGGACACAATGAACTAGATAGATGGTGTAAGGGGAAATGTGTTCGTTTACAGCAGCAATATGGTACAAATAAAGCAGTACAAATAACAGTAAAAATGCACAATATATACAATGAAATAGAATAATATCAAATTAACTAACTAGTAGTGCAAAGATCTAACCAAACAACAACAGTAACAGTGAAACAACAGAGTGACGGTGTTATAGTTGTGTGGATGATCTGTTCAGAGGTGATTTGTTATAAAGTGTTGTAGCAGGAATGTTCTCCTGTATCGGTCCTTGTGACAGCGGAGCTGGATCAGTCTGTTGGAGAAAGTGCTCCGCTGTCCCTGCAGGAGGTGGTGGAGAGGGTGGTCCGGGTTATCCAATATGGATAATAGTGTCTTCAGTGTCCTCTTCTCCACCACCTCTTCCAGATTGTCTTGTTTACAGCCAATGATGGAGACGGCCTTCTTAACCAGTTTGTTAAGTCTGTTGGTGTCTCCGGCTCCAATGCTGCTCCCCCAGCAGACTACAGAAGTACAGTGCACTGGCCACAACAGACTGGTAGAACATCTCCAACATCTTGCTGCACACGTTGAAGGATCAAAGTTTCCTCAAGAAGAAGAGTCGACTCATCCCCTTCTTGTACACAGCGTTGATGTTGGTCTTCCAGTTCAGTCTGTTGTCGATGGAGACACCCAGGAACTTGTCCTCCTCCACCATGTCCACATCCTCTCCCTGAACTCTCAGCGGTTGTGGAGCCGTCGTCTTCCTCCTGAAGTCGACCACCATCTCTCTGGTCTTGGCCACGTTCAGAAGCAGGTGATTTCTACCGGCCCACTCTACAAAGTCCTCCACTACTGCCCTGTACTCCTCCTCCCGTCCGTCCCTTATACACCCGACCACTGCAGAGTCATCAGAGAACTTCTGCAGATGGCATGACCCTGAGTTGTACTGGAAGTCAGTGGTGTACAAGGTGAACAGGAAGGGAGACAGAACAGTTCCCTGTGGGGCTCCAGCATCACTGACCACCGTATCAGACAGCACACGGCCCAGTGGGACAAACTGTGGTCTGCCTGTGAGGTAGTCAGTGATCCAGGAGACGGTGGATGCGTTAACCCCCACCACCCGCAGCTTCTCACTCAGCAGCACTGGTTGGATGGTGTTGAATGCACTGAAGTCAAAGGAAGTGATTCTCACAGAGCCACCGGTCATGGCGTCGGTGGTGGAAGAGCCCTTTGAAGTTGAGCGCTCTGTGTCCATGCAGCTCACTCATAAGGAAACGAAGGTTGAATATCCTGTAAACTATTTGACAGCAAAATATTTACTAAAATGTCGATTTTTAAGACCTGCTTCTAAAAAGAACCCTCTTTGCATAATCCCAAAACATGTAGATAGTGTTTTTATGTTTTATAAATTTAAGCTTGAGACACTGACAGACTTCCAGATTCTCTCTTTAAAATATCGTCTTATTATTAGGTCTTAACACCAAGCAGACAGGAAACTGTTATGATCAAATAGAGAACAGTTTGATTATGAAATTAACAGATTAGGTCACTCAGTTATTCCTTCATTTGAATTTGAGCATTGATCTTTATTGTTCCTGTTGTAGGCAGTCAACTCGACATCTTTGCTCTTTCTTGCCCAGGACATCTTGGACATCAGATCTTCTGAATGGAGTCACTTCACCACTCTCAGGCTGTTTCCCAACAGGCCCTGGAAACTGCAGTTACGAAGCCTCTCTTAAAAAAAAAGAACAATCTGCAGAGTTTGGGGATCTGATAAGCCATCATATTATATAATGTATAGAAGAAATCACCTCTTAAAACACATTTTTACTTTATTTTATTGTTGATATTATTTTATTTTCCTGAATTATCTTATTTTGTTTCTTAGTTTGTTCTTATCGTAGCGATTCGTTATATGTTTAATCTGTTGTTCTGTTTTATCAGGGTTTAATTTCTACTTTTGTTGGGCCTTTCTGTTGTTTCATCTCTTCCCTTTGTCCTTCAAAGCTCTTTGTAAACTGTGTTTCTAAATGTACTGTACAAATAAAGTTCTTATTAATATTAGGATAATATTCTCACCACGCCTGGCCTGGCTTTGTGAGTGAAGTGGGTTTCTGTGCAGTCAACGCAGTTGTGGAATTGGAACTGAACAAAGACGTCCGTGGTTTTTAATGGTTTTTGCTTTACACACCAGAGCTTTCCAAAGCGTGTGGTGTTGACATCACCAAGACTTCTCTGCATCGTCCTGCTAATAAAGGAGTGAGTTTGTTTTTCTGTTTCTTCAGCAGGTGTTTGATAAATCGCTCCTGTTTCCTCCTCACTGGTGGATTTTGTTGCACGTAAGGACGACAAGCAAAATCGTTGATGCCTTATGTAAAAGGTATTCAAAGTCTGTTTAATTCACTCCTCTGTGTCCTCTGTTGTGTGTGTGTGTGTGTGTGTGTGTGTGTGTGTGTGTGTGTGTGTGTGTGTGTGTGTGTGTGTGTGTGTGTGTGCGCGTGTGACTAAGCCCCGCCCAAAGTACAAACTAAGGGGTTAGCTATAGACTATTTAAGAAGTGGACGTAGTCATTGTTAGTCATGGTTGCAGCTGAGGTTAATTGAAGACTAAGTGGTTACGGACAACGAATGAAAAACGTAGTCGTCGTGACATCAGACATTGGTTTGTGGATCGTTCTGAAGCCCTCGAGTTCGACGATGTTGCCGTCGCCTTCTTGAATTACAGCCTTCGCCATGTTTTTTTTTGCAACCAGTGAACAGAAGTGACCATATCTGGACTGAGGAGGAGTGACGTAGAGACGAGACCTGTCAATCACTGTGTAGCCCCGCCCTAAAGCATCCCCTGCTTTATGGTCTGTGTGACTCTAAATGGACCATAATGTACTAAATGAACATCATGCTGTATTGAAGAAGACTTGAAACTAGAGACTGAGACCATAAACTCATGTTTACAATGTTTACTGAGGTAATAAATCAAGAGAGAAGTAGAGTCATTTTCTCATAGACTTCTATACAACCAGAGGAGTCGCCCCCTGGTGGACACTAGAGAGAATGCAGGTTTTAAGACACTTGTGCATCGGCTTCACTCGGCAGAACCGGAGGTTGCCGCCTGGGGTCGGCGTAGAGTCCGCCATTTCCAATCTGTCTTCAGCACAGCGTTCCGTCTTTCAGAGTAAAGTCAAGGTAAGGCTTCCAGATTATTTTCTTACAGTATGGTTTTATCATTATTATAGTATTTTATTTGTTATAGTATGAAAATATATATATATGTATATATGTGCGTGTCAGTGCATATACTATATTTATTTTTTAGGTGTAGGATGTTAGTTAGCTACTTTCAGTTGATTGTTCAAAGATGTCAGTTGATTGTAATTTTAGGTGGAAATGCCTCCCAAAAAGCAGGAAACGGGGGACATCAGGTCCTATTGCAAGATAAGTGTGAGTAAAAGCTCAGGTACAATTCTCTGTAATCAATGCTTAAACATTTATAATCTTTGACTGAATCTGTATGTTTTGCAGCCGTAATGTTTGGTGAACTAAGGCCATTCTCTTCACATGGATTTTCTAACATGGTCATTTCTATGCAATTAGCCACAGCTTGTCCAACTGATTTCTTTGTGTGTGTGTGTGAATGCTATGCATCATTTTATAAAGACCTTGGCAGGAGCCGCACCAGCCTGTTAGTGCTCTCGACTAAATGTTTTAACCATCCTACCCGAATCGTCTCAAAATACAACCTAAGCCACCCCGAAATGAATTTGGACCGTAGCAAATTAAAAATTTTAGTTTTTCTACATTATCATTAGGGCCCGAGCACCGACGTAGTCGGAGCGGAAGACCTATTGTTATTCTAATGTTTGTTATTATTATTATTATTTTTCCGCTGCTGGG